TATATATATGATTCTACCCTCTTGGATTTTATTTTGACGTTTTTACACTTCACTTCTGCTTCCTGTCTGCCCACCACGCTACTGTCTGTCCCAAATGAGAAATGAAAAAAGGAATTTGCAAAAAGCAAAATTGGTTTTCTGGTTTTTCGTTTGGAAACAAAAAAAAGAATAGATCACGGGTCAGGGTACCTTCAGGCAGTTCGTTTTTTCGTTTTAAAGCAAAAACAAAAAAAACGGAAATACCATGGTTTTCCCGTTTTTTCCTTTTTGGTTTAAAACGAAAAAATGAGAAAATGGAGCCGTTTTCCGTTTTTGTTGTCAGAATCAAAAACCCAAAAATGACAAAACCAAATTCAAATAACAGCCCGATTTTGGTTTTTTTGCAGATTCATTTTTTCATTTATTGTTTTGGACAAAAAGTGAGAGGGACCTACCTGCAGACATGATAGCGGACATGGGCGCCGCCATATATCCAATCCATACCGGAAGTCCATACCGGAAGTTGGTCTGTGTGTGTATTATTCGCCGAAGAAGAGGAAGAAGACAACGAAGAAGACGAATGCAAACAATACACGCATGTCAAAGAGAAAGAGCAGTAAGGGAACGAATCTTATAATTATTAGAATTAGACAACTTTTTTGTCATTGTACATTGTACAACAAAATTCTGTTCTGCACTTAGCACTAGCAGTACTAGCTAGTAGCTAGCACTAGCATAGAGTACCAAGCCGCTGCGTTTATACGCGCCGTCATCTTCATTTTATTTTAACACGTGTGTTATGTTCTCTAAGATGCAATTCTACGTAATGTATCGAATCATTAGGGGGACGTCTATGTGGGGAATCTCGGCATGCACAAATTACTACCACCAGATGGGTTTAGTTACATTTGTTGTGTAAAAACGAGGGCATGATTGGTATTAACTTAACATTAGCTGCTCAAGGTCTGTTGTGCTCCCTTTCATCAATGTCTGTGTGTAAACAGTGTTAATGTTGGTCAGAGACTATTACTGCCCTTGCTTGATGTGTTGGTTAATTTAGATGTGTAGTTTGCAGTGGGGTTAATATGTTTTCCTCTGCTTTTTGGTGTGTTGTGGTGTAAAACATCTGTGCACACACTCACTGCACACAAGCCATTTTTTTCCCAATTTTTGGTTCGCCTGGTCTCCTTGTGTATTAATGCTTGTATAACCTCAACCCTGCACTGCTCAATCAAGTTCTATACATTTTTTTCCCCCGGAGATATTCTAAAAATAGTAACGAGAGTCGTCTCATGTTGTATACGACATGAGCGACCCCCGGGGGTTAACCGGGTCAGATAAATAACATATACAGTACAGGCCAAAAGTTTGGACACACCTTCTCATTCAATGCGTTTTCTTTATTTTCATGACTATTTACATTGTAGATTCTCACTGAAGGCATCAAAACTATGAATGAACACATGTGGAGTTATGTACTTAACAAAAAAAGGTGAAATAACTGAAAACATGTTTTATATTCTAGTTTCTTCAAAATAGCCACCCTTTGCTCTGATTACTGCTTTGCACACTCTTGGCATTCTCTCCATGAGCTTCAAGAGGTAGTCACCTGAAATGGTTT